TCGTTGTGATGGAGTCCAATATTCGGACCCTTTTGATTCATACAAAAACGTCGTTGTATTGGGTGTTGTTCGAATCTCACTGAGATCAGATATGGCTAGAGTAGAGGTAGATAATGGAAAAATTTACCTATCCTCCGGTCATGCTTATAGGTTAAGAGACAATAAATGTATCGATCCAATTGGAGGATATTCATTCTGGGAAACATTACCCTCAACATCTCATTGTGAAACAGGTTTATTTTCTATTCTTCATAAAGGCCTGGTAAATAAAATAACCTCAAGAGATGATACTTTATATTCTGTCAATGTAAAGGAAGTTAGCTTCACTTTTACGAAACAAGGTGTTGATAACGCGTGCGGTTTGAATCTAATAAAGACGGAACATCCGAAAATTTTCATCATTGAAACAAGCAATATTGCAGATTTTTCACGAAATGTTGCGGTTTCATTAAATACCGACAATATGGATTTACTTATGTATGTAAATGCAAAATTTGTTTATGTAGAAAGATATATTAGATCTCAAGTGCATGGATTGTACAGAGATGTCTTGCGCCACCAATGTAATCTGGAACGAGAGATTTTGAGAAATAGCTTGGCAATTGCATCGACTATGCCTGATGAATTTGCATTTAGATTTATGAAAGGTCCAGGTTACATGGCGGTGTTAGCTGGTGAAGTTATTCACTTAGTTCAATGTGTACCAGTAGAATTAAAAGTAAGGAAAACAGAAGAATGTTATAATCGTCTACCAGTACAACGAGGAAATGAGAGCGTTTTCCTAACACCATGTACCCATGTTGTTGTAACACAGGCGACACAAATCCCTTGTAATTCTCCATTACTTCAGTTCTATCGTCTTGCTGATACTTGGTATAAATTGATGCCACACGCAATTGAAACGCTGCCACCAATCCAAATCAAACCCAACGTTAAGGTGACATGGAAATACCAAAATCCTAGTCATTTAGCAACCAGCGGGATCTATAGTGAAGATCTGGAAAAAATGCGCGATCGCATTATGTTCCCGATGGAGAACACAGCAGTTCTCAACCAGATCGCCCAAAAAGTCTCAAGTAATGGGTCTCACTACGCATCACCATCGATGTTCAACATTTTCGATGAGAATGCTTTGGAAAAACTGGCTGAAAGTACGTGGAAGAAGACATGGGGCCGATTTGTCAGTTTCGGTTCCATCAGCGCTGGATTCATCGGAGTTTTCATGCTGATTCGAATATTGAAACTCCTCGTGGATACCATTATCCACGGTTATACGCTTCACATGGTTTATGGATGGTCTATCCATTTGTTAGGAGCAATTTGGGATTCTGTTACGAATCTACTACTGCATATGGCTAAGCAGGCAAGAAATCCAGAGCGCAAGGACGTTGAGTTGGGACTTATCGAAGCTTCTGCTCCAGCAAGCGATGGAGCAACTGAGAAGATTTATCCACACATTGAGAAACCTCTCAATGATAGTGAAGTAAGACACTTCGTTTGACCCTGAAGAAGGAAGACCACGACAGCTGCATTACTGTGTTACACAACAACAACATCCTCTATTCTGATCAAAGGCTCTCAACTTCAAGTCTACGAAATTTTGTAATTAGACAAGTAAGATTTAAAGACTGTCTCCTATTAGATAGAAATAAGATTATTTCATTTTTTTTTATTACGTCGTTCTCGTTCTCTAATGTCACTCGTACTTCCGTCTAACTGCGGTAGTGTGACATCCGTCAGAAAATTCATTTAAATTCATTTTCTTACGTCGTCATTCAATTATCTCAGTGATAGAAGCGACTTTTGAAACCCAAATTATCTTCTGTGACCGGGGAAAGTGACCCCCTCGATGTTAGGAATATTTCGGCTGCACACATCTGTGAACGATAAAAATGTTCCCAACGTCGAGTTTCTCCTAGATTAAGGAGATATCAGCTGTGCAATATCAGATGCACTGTAAACATTTGAGTCTAGTCTCGTCTCCTTAATCATGTACTTTCCACGTGTGACCGTAAATTTCAATAAACACTGGACTCTTGAACCGGAAAACTGTTGATAACAAATTCTAAGCGTGGGTCCAAATTTTGTAACTCCCACGACAAATATTTGATATAAAAATAGAGTAACGATTTCGTTTCCCACATGGAGGAAATGACATAAACATTGACGAACATGTGACACAAAAATAGTAAAATGCATCATACAACAGAATGATTCTTTTATGAATAATTTTCCATTTCGGATATTAATTAAACTATCATAATTGTTTAAGAAATATTATCAACGTGGAAAACCACAAAATAATTAAAGTTTAAACAATATTTTTATGTCATTGAATTATTATTGAATTACTATTAGATTACTATTTTTCTTCAATGAATTATAATTTATCATAAAATTTCATGAAATTTATCTGAATTGTTTCAAAAAAATTAAATAACAAAGATGTTAACGCTAAGTTGAAAATAAGAGATAAAAGAGAATTGTGGAGGGAATATATGGGCATTCCTAAAACAATTTTCATTGGTTGTTGGGGAATAGAAAAGACCGCCTACACCCCAAAAACATCTTCATGTAGAGAGATGGAGTTGATCTCGAAACAAGGAGATTTCAAACCACTGGAGTGGGAAATTTCGGCTAGAGTCATTTGTAATTGGTCCCCGAAATTTCCCTATGCATTCTGAGGACACACCCTCCTAGATAAACTATAAAGACTTGTGCGCGATAGCAGCACGACAGTTACAGTTCCGATTGCATTTTGTAGTCATCGCTACAGTAGTAGTAGTAGCTCATATCTGAGAGTTAGTATACTCCAGTTTCTTTTGGACACAGTTCCAATTTTATTATCGACCTATTAAGGCGATATTTCGGGTTTTTCGCGACCTTTAATTTTCATATAGTCTTGGATGACTATTTAATTTCCATTTTAGTCTTTCGTGACTAAATTATTTTCTGAAATCCCAAGTCTTGTGACATTTTTAATTATTTTATTCATTTAAATAAAGAATTTAATCCAACGTCTTAAATTCAGTGCGGCATTACTTTTAACCACATAACAAATACTTTACGACTGAAAGCAGAGCAGTGAATGTAAGTCGAATGTTGTAGTTATACTTTTCTACTTGTTTTGTTAAAATATAGACTCTATTGAGTCACTTTAAAGTTATTCAAAATTCTTTTCATTTTACTCCAAGTGAACCTTTCCAACCTTTGATTCCAAACCTTTTTGGAGTTTAGAAAATTGAAGTAAAAGGGGACCTTTGTAAATGGGTTTTGTGTTTGAATTCTATTCCTTAAATTCGAGACGATCTTTGAATTTAATCTTGTTTTTTTGGTTCAATATATTGAATTTTAATTTAATAAAGTTGTGTCAAGTAACCCATTCTTGACGTAACAGTACCATAGGTGACTGTCGTTAGTTGATACTCAATGGGTTGGCCGTTGTCGTCCTTCTAGAGAATTCGTTGATAGTCCCAGTCGTCTTGTTGTACCCAGATCTGGCAAAACATCTTCACGATGTCCGTGCCGAAAACAAATCGATGCCGACGTAGCCAGATGAGAACGTCGGAGCTGTTGATTTGCAGTTTAGGTCCCGGATGGAGGATGTCATTCAATGACACCCCCGTTGAGCTTCGATGCGAGGCGTCGAACACCACTCTCAATTGTGTGGTCGTACTGTATGGTTTAACCACAGCGTGATGAGGCAAATATTATGTCCGTTCCGGCTTCGACGTCGATGATGCTCGCTGCTCAGGACTCATACTCCTCGATGAATTTCTTGTAGCATGTATGAGTGTCCGGATTTGACGAGTCGCCTCATGAGGTTCTGTAACCGTATCTTGGCCGATGATGCTGTATCCCCCAAGGCGGCTGGCGATGATTTAAACGGGAGACGCACAATGTAGCGTCCCGTTGAATCTCGTCGATGAGTCTCGATAAAGTGTTGTTCACACTCTGCTTCAGCCTTCGTCAAGACTGATGATGATGTATCTGGTAGTTCCTCCTGAGTCCAAAATTTCTTTAGCAGTTCCAAAAGTTGTTGATTCGCCGTCTGCTTCGTTACTTTTAATGATGATTTCGGAATGCAGCCGGTGTAGCTGACTGGCCCCGAGATGATCCAACCGAAGATGGTTTCCTAAGCGATTAATTTCATTTCCGTGAACCTGGTGATTCTCTCGCCGATGATTCTCCCGTAGATATCAGCTTCGATGATGATGTCGATGGCCCCAGGTTTAAAAACTGAGGGTCTGCCAACTGAAGTTCTCCTAGTTGATGAGGAATCGTTGATTCGCAAGTAAATGGCGGTATGTTCGCCGTCAGTTTGCTCAGGATGTGGGCGTTAATGTTGATTTGAACAGCGGGTTCGTGCCTCGGTTGTAAGGCAAAAGTCACTACACTACGCGTGCTCCCCGATGAGGTTTCTCCGATGTCGACGATGAAAATTGATGATGACCTCCGCTCCAGATGAAGTTGATTGACCAAGCGCTCAGAGACTAGTATTATCTCTGAACCCTCGTCGATGAGGATCCGTGTTGGCCTTGAATTTCCGTGACGATTGAGGGCGAAGACCCTCGCCGTCGGCAAGTTTACCAGTTGAGTAGCATTCTGATGAGGTCGTTGAACTTCCAAAACGTTGATGATGTCCACCGGATTCACCTGGTACGGTTCTAATTGATGATTGACCTGGTACTCCTGTGGCTGACGACGATCTCCAACGTACCATGGGCTTAAAATGAGGTTTATGTCCCACCTGGTACTTTTCTGATTGTCCAGGTTCTCCAATCTAATAAGTGCGAGGTCGTTGACCTCTTCCTCTCGACGAGTGTCCGTGCACATGATTTACTTTGTGATGCTGCGTCTTGGCGCGATGATGGACCGGATGACTTGTTGACAGGTTCCTGATTGATGAATGTCTGATTCTTGATGATGGTCCGGTTGACGTCTGTCAACAAACACAGCAGTTGAGTTCCCCTAAAAATATTGTAATAATAATTTGGTACTCAACCGCTTCTGTTGGGGTTTGATGATGTCGAGGCTCCTGATGAGTCCACCGTTGACTGTCCTGCTGTGACTGGGGCGTTGTGGATGAACGTATGATGCAGTCCCTGACACGTCTTGCACCTCCGGTCACTCTTGCACTTGTGTGCTCGGTGGGGGCCCATGCAGTTGTAGCACAGGGCGTTGCTCTCCATGAACTGCTTCCTTTCATGTGGCCTCCAAAAGATGAACTTCGGGCATTCAGCCCCGATCCAATGAGGCCCGCCGCAAGCAATGCAGTTCCTTTTGGCTGATGGAGGCTCCGTTGATTTGCTGGATGGGGTTGTTAATGATTTCCCCGATGATTTCCCTGATGACACCTGGTACACCTTCACCGTCGGCTTCGGCTTGGGTGCTGGCTTCGTTGGAGCTCCGTTGTGCTCCTCCTGTTCCACGTTATTCAAGGTGCGTGCTCTAGCTTTGAGGAACTCCAGGAAGGCCTTTAGCTCCAGAAGTTGTGTTGAGTCCCCCAGTTTCTCCTCCCAGGGTTTCCTGGTGTCTGCGTCGATAATTCTCCTCATGATGTGGGTCACGATGATGTCCCAGTGTTCGGTGGGAGCCCCCAATGACTTCAACGCCTCCAGGGCTTCCGTTGTATTGTTGACGATGGCCAACAACCCTGCAGTTGACTTCTCCTTGAGCTGCTCCATGTTGAGGATCCGATTCAGATGAGATGCCATTATGAGCCTCGAATTCTCGTAACGTGCGATGAATTTCCTCCAGGCGATGGAATAATTGGCTGCCTCAACTCCGATATTTTTGATGAGCGCCTCCGCCTGGCCCTTCAGGGCGCCCTTCAGCCTCAACATCTTCTCCACTTCTGCCATCTTCGGGTTCTCGTGAACGAGGGAGAGGAAGATATCGTAGAAGGCCTTCCATTCGGTGTACTTCCCAGAGAACTCCGGGATGTCAATTCTCCGAAGAGTACTCGATGATGATGTTCCTGATGATATCTCGTCTCGTTCCTTAGCTCGAAGTTGAGCCATGATCCGCCCAAGCTTTTTTACCGCCTTTGAATATGCGTTGAGAGCCTGCTGGAAGGCGTCCTCCACAAAATTGAGGACGTCTTCGATGACACCGTCGATTAGTGCCTCGTGGTACGATGAGAAATTCGTCCATTGGGTTTCCACGATGCATTGGTGGGCCTCAATGTCATCTGTGGTCAGGCTAGCGATTTCCTCTGTGTTGAGTTCCCCGATGAGGTTCTCCAGATTCTTTAACCGATTCAGTTGTAGCCTGAACAAAACTGCTCTTTTGTTCAGCTCAAAACTGCTCGACCACGGGGTAACTCTCTTCTTTAATTGTTGAGGCTCATCGGAATGGATGACACTGTCTACCATTTTGTTGATTAAATTCTTTATGAATTCCTCGGTTGCCTCTGCCTCCTCTACTACGTCAGCCCAGTATGATGTTGATCCCCTGCCGCGCTTCGTTCCGCCGATAAGTTGCCGCTCCCGGGTATATTGAGTGACCGAGTGGAGAAGAGGCGCAGCGCTCCCGCTACAGCTGCGAATGGGTAGAAATAGAGGACTCCGAAGATTGCCGAAGTGCTACGGGGAGTGGCGAGGTGTCGACCGTTGAGTCTCCGGGGTGACGTCACGCCGTTCCTCGTGTTGAGTGTCCTCTCTTGCCGATGTAAACAAAGGCAATGGAATTTATTGCCTCTATAAATCCGTTGATTGTCCGACCTCTATGTAGTTTCTTTTGATATAGTTTTGTGAAACCCGAAAGGCTCGCAACTCACGGCATCGTTTTTTCACCCAAGTTGATTTTCCTTGCACTGCCTTTGTCCACGATAATTATCCACTGCACTATCACTTCACTATCTGGCTCGAAGGACCAATGTTAAAAATCTTGTGGGATTTCGATGATAGGGAGGTCGGGAGGGAAAGTAAGATGGGATGGATTACCGGAGAATAAATTATGATGAGTTTCGTTGATTGTCACTGTACTTAAAAATTTAGTGCACTGAAAATTACACTCGATGAATTTCTAATAAATAGTTGATTTACCGAAGTGGACTGTACAAACCTGGAATATTTAGATAATAGACCCGATAATTTACGCTGATGTTCGATAACTTTACCGATGAATTTCCCGATAAATGCGCCGATGTGCGCCCGGATAAGTTTCAGTGATTCGCTCCTGATGAGAGTCGATGGTATACTGGCCACCGTGGAACACACTCACGACTACGTGCGTGCTTGTCGATGGTCGGGCATTTCTGTAAGGAACGGGGAAATGAGTTGGCCCAAAAAGCATGCCAGATTTTGAAAAAACTCAGATACAAAAAAGTCTGAAATAAAAGTCAGAAGACCATTTCGATTGCTGTATTAGTTTCCAAAGAAAAAGCACTTTTAACTTTTTCGCTCGAAATTAATTATCATCATAATAATTTTAGATTCGATAAACGCCAGAAATATCAAGAATTCACTGGCCTCCTTCATCTTAAAATTATGTTACTTGTTATTTGTTATTGTGTTACTTGTTATTTGAAAATCTGATAATTCTGATAATCACTGCATTGGAAGCAATTGAAACCTGCAACAAAGAGTTTTAATGTTTTTTGCCTCAGGTTCGGATATTTAAAGGCCCAATGTAGTAACTCAAAAACATGTTCACAGTGCGAACGTCGCACATGAAGACGACTCCCCATGTCCATCCTTAAATCTTTCTCCTAAGTGCATTAATTTCAAAAATGATCATAAACCTACCGATCATAATTGTCCAGAATTATTGAGACAAAAATTTATTCACGAATACGCAGCAATTAATGGAATTACATACGTAGAGGCAAGAGAACTACTCAAGGGACATATAAATTTCGCACAAGTAGCAGCAACTCCTTCTCCACCCCCCAATGATATAATTAATTATTCTCTAATGTCTACGTCCAGATCTCCTTACACTCAGAAACGTCCGCCACAAGTTCAACATATAAGAAATTATGAAATATTAAATCATTGCCATATTTCTCCTCAATCATATTCATCGCATGAAGGATTATCGGAACATCGTGATTCAAATTATCACACAAAGAATCATCTACTTGATCGTGATGTCTCAGCCACTGAACGACATCACGCTCCCTCCATTCACCAATCAAATTACTCAACTTTAAATGACCCTTTGTATACTATTCGTTTCAATCACGAAACAAATATCTATCGTCAAGATTTCAACGATGATTTAATTCCAACGAAAAGATCTTTTACATCAGAAATGAACAAAACCATGATTCAATCTCCTCACAACCAACTCTCTCTTCATCAATCCTCTCCTCCAATCTGACCCTGTCAAGGCTGTGAAGAATTCAAGATTATGGATGACTCAAATGAGACAATTCTTTCAATTGATGGTGGAAAATTTATCCCCCCCGCTTGCAGCTGTAGGAATCAACAATGACTTCGCTCAACTCAGCGGTTGCGTCAGACAATTTAGACGATCCATTGGACCCCCCACTGAAGATATCTCAAATTCATCCCCTTCTTCTATGAATAACAAGATTAACGAAAAAATTCATGATGCACCCTGCCAGCACATTGATAACCCCATTCCTATCAGCAAAGCCTTGGACACAAATGGATCATATTATCAATAATCAAGGAATTCCTTTACGTATCTTACAATAGAATGCACAAAGTATGAAAAAAAATGAGAGATTCACAACAAATTTTAAATAATTATGGTATTATTTTAACTACTGGCACATTGTAAAAGCGTGATACTCCATTTAAATTTCGTGGATTTATTATTTATCGCAGAATTCGAGAATCAACACGGTGGAGGCATAGCAATCACTATTGGAGACAATTTAAAATATAACAAAATTGGCAATGTGGACGATATCTCATCTAATCTATACGTTCGTGGTATTCTTCTTCCCACAACTAAAAGGAATCTTGCCACACTAAGAAAAAAAATTTCTAATATCTCAAATATATTTTCTTGAGACAAGTAATTTTTCTTCAATTGTTTGATACTCCCAGGCATATCAACTCACGTGGTTCAAGAAAGGCCTCATGCTCTAAAATATTCTTGTACTCAAATATGATTTTGTCGAAAATGAACTCACTCAAATCGCGTAGAAGAATCGTCAATCTTCAAGGATTTTTTGTTTTTGTGATTTTTTTGTAATGCAGTTGCAATATTTCGATATGTAATACATTCATGATATAATGCGCAACGATAGTGATAAATGAGAATTCATCCGAGTTCCGTGAACCACAAACATTCTGAGATTTAAATCATTGAAAAAAATTTACTTCTCTCAAGTAAATATGGTCTACCTATTAGGAAATTTTTCTCTCACAAGGAACACTAGGGAGGTGTTCCCATCCGATTTTGATCAAACTCATATATGTTGTAGAGGACTCAAAACTAAAGGACACGTATTTTTTTATCGACTAATACGCGGATTTAGGGGGGGAAACCATGGTCAGAAGGTGACAGCCTTCGGGGGTGGTCTTTCAATCCCACCTATAAGGAGGGTGTTTTTACAAATGTTCATCACGGTAATGAATAGCCTGTGAGAAGTTATAAAAATCACAACTGATAGTCCCTCCGGGGGTCGAAATTGGGGGGGTAGTAAACTACCCCGTAAAAATTTTGTTGAAAAAAAAAAAGTCTCATAATTTAATAAAACCAATTGCATTTAGAAGAGCATGGAAAAATGCAGAATACGTGTTTTTGGATTTTCCCCGGAACTGAAGTTTTCTGGGGTGAAAAAAATAATTTCTCGGAAATATCACCCATCACAGTGGTGAAGTTTTTTATCCATTTCATCAAGGTAATACATAGCTGGTGAGAAATTATGAAAATCATAATTGATAGTTCATACGGGGGTTGAAATTTGAGGGGTAAAATACCCCTATAAAAATTTCGTTTTTCAAAAAAAGACTATGGCTCAGAATTTTATAAAACCATTTGCGTTTGAAAGAACATGGAAAAATGTGATTTTGGATTTGCGTCAAAACTAAAATTTTCTGGGATAAAAAAAAATTATTTCTAGGAAATATCACTCATCACAGTGGTGGAGTTATTTATTCATTCCATCGAAGGAGAAAATAGCTTGGGAGCGATTATGAAAATCACGATTGATAGATCCTCTGGGGGTTGAAATTTGAAGGGGGGGGGGTAAACTATTCCTGTGAAAATATTTTTAAAAAAATTATAGGTCAGGATTTCATCAAAATGATTGCATTGGGAAGAACATGGAAAAATGCGGAATACCTTTTTTTATTTTCCCCGGGACTCAAATTTTCTGGGGTAGAAGAAATAATTTCTGGGAGAACTGTGAGTTGTCCAAATGATTTAGTATTTATTGTAGAAACTCATTCCATCCGTCTTAATCGAGCCTTTACTTCTCTGGCATTTTCCTGTGGTTGTCTATATATATATTTTATTATGGATTATAATCGGTACAGAAATGATATTCATCAAAAAAATGGTACAGCCAGAGAGACTTTCTGCACCACGAGCATCTAACTACTGCAACATTAGAACAACCATCAACGTCACATTGTGGATTAGAAGATTGTCCAAATGGAAAAACAACAGGATTATCAAATTCCTCTGGTTTTTTAGCAATCTAGCCAGTTTGGAACCAAGTATAACGAAATAGATTTTGATACCTTGGTAACGATCATTGATTATGAACTAGAGATTGCAATTTTATTACATTATATCGTGCATGTAAATTGATGTCATGATTCAAGAGAACGACCGTATCTGAAAAATAATGGACATAATTTTTCCAAATTCTGAAACCGTATACATCAAGAGGTTGAATTTTCCCGGTCGTCCCTTTCGGAATCAGCATATTTAATAATTCTTTATTCCGAGAAGTTGCCCTACCACTCGAGAGTAATGTCTACTCCATGAATCGATCAACTGTAGACTTTTTGGTCCAACGTGTAGAAATAATACTTCTTCCAACCAAATTTTGAAGTGCTCTGGAATGTTTGGAATACGATGAACATTGTAATCAGTGCGAATAACTTGTCACATCTTGTTATACATTAAAAATATAATCTTACTAGGCGTCACTTTTCCCGATTTTGAAGCCGTTACATCAACATTTAAAGGTCTGAATAGATTCTCCTGGACCCTTGGGCCAAACGTTCCGGAGGGTTGCTTGTAAACAATGAAAAGTGACAATAATTTTCCATCAGCAGATATCGTGGATTGTATCTGTTATGTCCGGAGAAAGATTTTAGCGTCGAAAGGACATGTTTTAATTGTCACATTAAAATCAAAGCTAAAATTATAAGATTTTATAATTATTGGACGACACAAAGTTTTATACTCTTACCTTTTTATAAAATATAAAGAAAAAGGG